AAACATCTGGTGCCTCATTTTTTTCCGAAACGTCGCTAGCTACATGGCGTCACATCCCAGAAGGCATTACTCTTCAAGAAAAGGAAAGAATACACTGCATCTCGCATGGAAACCAGAATAAATGGATAGAGAATTTTCATGGGAAACCTTTTTGGTATTACTTTGTTCAACTGACCTAATCCTTCCAGCCACACTATGGCCCTGGGGTCACTCAGCCTGTAATAGAAGTGAGTACCAGGAATCTTCCTGGGAGTAAAGGGCGGTCGGCGCGTAAGGCTGACAACCTTACCGCCATTTGTGAGCCGATTGTCTAGAAAGTATGGGAACCTCAACATCTCACAACCCTATGGGCCTTCAAGGCCTGTTACAGGGATAGCTTTACTTACTTACTTTACTTTGACAACCGGGCAAAGGATAGGAAGATAACATTAAGATGGAACTTGGGGACACAAGTTATAAGGGTGGATGTTGGCTTCGGATCATGTCCAACAGCGGGCTTACGCCTGAAAGTTAACACAGATTTTCTTACTTCAAGTACTACTTAACGCGAACAAAACATTGCACAAGACTACATATTGGCTGAACATGTCAGGATTACAGATGTTCGACAGGTCGCTATAAACACAGGAGCAAGATGCATCCGGAAGAGCACGATAACGGTGTGCAGATGGTATCCGTTATGGAATAATTACGAAGGTATAATTCCTAAATCCCTTCTCGCAATAAATTTGGGGTAATGTCCAGTCAGCATCGAAATCGATAGAGCAGGCATCCCCGCGAAATACACCTGCGTTCAACCTCATTCCTATCGTACCAACAGAACTGTAATTATTTCGACATGTCCAGTCGATGCCTTCCTCTCGACAATAATTAACGAGAGCTGGCTCCCTTTCCCATCCCTTCCCTTCTAAAAAATGTAAAGATTTTCAGCAATTCCAGGGTAACATTTTGCAAAATATAATTTTGACGTTTCTCTAAATGGTCTCTAACAGTAATGTACTAACATATATTATTGACTAAGTTGGTAATGGTCAGCTGCAAGAGGCAAAGTTAATATGAACGAAGCTTCACGTGATCAGCAATATTTGTCTGTTAAACAGATCACGAGGCCAGATAATTATAAATCGAATTATAAACGAAATAACCTCACATTCATTAACACATGACGGAGAAGTTGGTAAGCGAAAATGTTTACAGGAATTAAACAATAATTCGACTACTGATGACGAAAACCTCGTAATTTTTCCCCCTTGGCGCTAAATTCCCAATTTGGGCCTTGGCTTGCCTCCATAAAATTTCTCGTTTCATTTCGGTTTACTGGATTTTAGACATTCGGTAGGACTCCTTGGGCGGGTGATCAGTTAGTCGTAAGGCCTCTACTTGTATACAAACACAGAAAAATGCACACACACACACACAAACAAACACCATATATCTATGCCCTGAGTGGGGTTCGAACCCAAGATCCCGGCTTCCGATCGAGCGAAGACGGTGCATGCCTTAGACAGCTCGGCTGCCGTGACCGGTAAAATTCGTAATACATTTTGTATATGTTTCCTGTGCAGTGGAAATATTAAAATATAAAAAGTGGAAAGTAGTCAACAAACCTGAGCAGGAGTGGTTCAAGGGACAGTAACGATACACGTAAACGGGATAACAGAAAATTGTTTATTATTTAATAGAGAAATTATTAAACACGCCGTTGATAAGGCCAAAAGAATTATCAGCGCGTTCAGAAACGATAAATTAGCAACACTTTCTGTCACGCTTCACAACCTCCTTGCAGTCATGTGCAGGTGTTTTCAAGGTAACTGGGTCACCGCTTGTCATGTGAAAATAACGAAAGCAAAATCTTGTTTCGTAAGTTTAATCATGTCAAATTAGAGATGCCATGGAATTGATTAAAACTGAAAATCACTTAACTACTTCATAAGTTACATGACTCCCTCCATCCAGCCCTTCGAATGCATCTCTGGCAATGTTCACACTGCGGTTCGCGGACCATATCCTGCAACAACATTCATGATTTATTTAATTATTGTTATTTAACGACGCTGCAATTAGTTCAGAATATTGTCACGATTCAGGGGTGACTACACGCTGGGTTTGGATTGGTGAATCGGGTTTACTGATCACTTGTACACACCACTGTGAACTGCAAGCAATCGCAGCGCTATCGCTGATCGCCACACTTTATACAAATCACTACATGCTAAGTATTTTCCAAATCTGCTGTCTCCAACAGCAGTTCCCTAGCAACGGCTTCTAAACAGTGGAGATTCTTTAGCTTCCAACGCTAACTTCGTAACTGCCCGGGGAATATCCCGCAACCGAACTCTTGTCGTCAAAACATCTCAGCCTCCCTTGCAGAGCTCGATTCAACTGCCAAAACTCAAATGAATTCAGCCGGCCTGGGGTTCTCGTTATATAGCTTCGGGGCGGATCCAACAGAAAACACCGCCTCCAGCAGCACTTCTATTTTTGTTATGGGCGGTTGCCTATCGAAATCCCAGATATCGTTTCCGCGCAAACGTGTTTATCGAGCCGTTGTTCAGAAACGCCCATTTGTTTATTCGCCAACTGCACAGCAACGGCTGTACTCGTCCGTTTCGAGGTCTCTGCCTAACAACGGGTCTATATGCCACAATATAAAGTGCCAGGTGCTAGAGTAACATGATTGAATAGCGGCCTCCGTAGTCTAGAGGTAACGTTCCCACCTCATGACTCGTAGTACGCGGGTTCAAATACCCGGCGGAGGTCGTCGAATTTTTAAGGGCGGAAAAATTCAGGGAACAAGTCCTCCGGGAGGGACTTTAAGCCGTGGGTCCCGTGTCGTAGCTTTACGGCACGTAAAAGAACCTCATATCTCCAAAGGAGGTCACTGAGCCAAATTGCGGACGTTTCCCGCCCAACAGTAGTCTCTAATACCTCTGGTAGATGGGGGAAGCATTATAGATACCTCTCAGCTAGTAGAGCCGGTCTCGCTGGCAGGGTGGGACTGATGGTAAGCACCAGTACCGGTAGGATACAGAGACTGGTAGAAATCATAGAGGGAAGCACAATGGACCAATACAGGTCTAAGTGCATGGGGAAACCCACCCTCTCCAAATAACTAACTAACTAACTAACTAACTAACTAACTAACATGACTGAATTGGTAAAGATTGCGGAAGGAAGTGGTCGCAGCCTAACTTCAGGTTCCAGTCTAGAATTCGCCTCGAAGAGCTGAGGGATACCACAAAATCCTCAGAAGGGAAAGTAGATATCTCGGTGGAGAATCGAACCAGTAACCTCCTGAGCAAAAGTACAAAAGCTTTACCGCTTGAAGCAAACTTGCTTGCTACGATGACTCTGATGACTCTGATGATGATGATGGCGTAGTGTTTGTAAATTGCAGCTTTCCTTTTCTTTGCTCCACGTTGCGGTCTCCGCGTGACGTGCGCCTAATTCTGAGCTGATATTCCCTGGAATTTCTGGGAGCGTCCATTAGCATCCTAATTTTGAATAATGGCTTTTTAACAAAGGAGGCAGGGTTCATTTCGACAGCAGACAAATTAATCCGCAGCAGCTCGCTTTCCCAGTTAGGACATCTATTTTTTCATTGCTGGTGAGCATATTTCTCTTTAGAATTAGCCAGAGTAAGAATTTTTAAATATTATCAACGTGAATTCCGAAATCAAAAGGTTATTCACTTCGAACATTCATTCATTCATTCATTCATTCATTCATTCATCAATGGCTCTACAGCCCTTTGTTGGGCCCTGGCCTTTATTTCAGCTTCGTAATCGTTTTTATACAGACGGTAGGACTCCTTGTACGAGTGATCAGCCGTCGCAACGCCGCTACCTACACACAGGACAATACAAACACAGAATAAATGCACATACAGACATCCATGCTTTGAGTGGGATTCGAACCCATGATCCCTGCGTTTGACCGAGCGAAGAAGAGAGTTCAAGCATTAGAATGCGCGGTCACCGTGATCGACTGCAGTTCTCAGATACCGAAAGAAATTCGGGGCACAATGGGACAGAGGCCCATGCTCTAATTAGTTTCGTTGTTGGTGCAGAACTTGCTTGAAGTGTAATGAGCTCTGGCTCTTCCCACTCTCACTCTAGAATTACGTTCTCACGGTAGAACGTCATTTCCTGCACTATGTTGTATGCAAATTCTACTGCCCTCTGGAGACTAGCGGTCATCTTCATCGATGTTTACAAATCCTGACACAACATCGAAACTGTCAAGTCGCCCCGGTCGATACTTCAATATGGGACAACACAAACACGACAAGCAGTGACCCACAAAAACACATATAAAAAGAACTTCGAATAAGTCTTCGGTAATTTTTTTATACCACGATAAAAATACCAGCTGAGGAAAAAAGACAACAGCGAAGAAAGACTTCACGGGAAGAATTCTTAATCCATCTAATCACTCAACAAAGTTTACACAGCAGAATGTTTCTTGAGAAACTAACGATCAGTCAGTTACGGAACCAAAAGGTTTGTTATCGTCTCCAGAAGCGGTCCTGCTGGTCCCTGTCCTGGGTCAGACGACCACAATCCACGTCATCACACCCAATTTCTGTAAGATATTTTTCAGAGTTTTCCAGAAACAGAAAATATGAAGCTGAGTAAACTGGGGGGATAGGTAGAACAGATGTTTGGGAAGCCTGTGAAAGTTAGCAAGAGAACAAGGTCGCGCCATAGCTCAAGCGGTTAGTCGCTAGCTTCCCACCACGGCGGCCTGGGTTCGATCCCAGGTCTGGTCAAGTGGGATTTGTGGTGGACAAAGTGGTGCTGGACAAAGTGGTGCTGGAGCAGGTTTTCTCCGAGTATTTCGGTTTCCCCTGCCAATCTTCATTCCACCAAATTCTCCATCATCATAATCACCCTGGGCAGATACCGTGCCGAGTGGACCCAGCTGGACTCCACCCTCCACTAAGCGAATAGCAAGAGAACACTGTACAGTTACGGTGAGATAAATGCAACAGTACTCACTATCTGCGATCTGGCGCCTCGTGGCTCTGGGTGAGAAGATACGGTAAGGAGAGCACCGACTGACAGCAGAAGTCTGGGACATCTGAAACAATAGAAATCACGCGACTAATCCAACTACAGCACACTAATTACGTCCCTCTTATTCCGAAACAAACTGACTGATTTACCAATTTCCTTCATGTGCAGGGTAGTTCATATAGTTGAACAAGCTCTGAATTATTTCTGAACGAACCGGTGGGTAAACTACAAGTCGCAGGCCGAAGAGGGTCACGGAATTGTAATAAGAACATTATCTTCGGACAATGTTTGCGGTATAAAACCAAGTACATTACGATTCTACAAATTCTGCGTCGTGACATATTCCAAGATACGATCCCTGCATTCGCCTTGAGTGTCTGAGGAAAACCATCAAAATATTGCCACATGTATTAGTGATTACTTAGTTAGTTAGTTATTGGAGAGGGTGGGTTTCTCCATGCACTTAGACCAGTATTGGTCCATTGTGCTTCCCTCTATGATATTCTACCAGTCTCTATATCCTACCGGTACTGGTGCTTACCATCAGTTCCGCCCAGCCAGCGAGACTGGCTCTACTAGCTGAGAGGTATCTATAATGCTTCCCCCCATCTACCAGAGGTATTAGAGACTGCTGTTGGGCGGGAAACGTCCGTAATTTGGCTCAGTGACCTCCTTTGGAGATATGAGGTTCTTTTACGTGCCGTAAAGCTACGACACGGGACCCACGGCTTAAAGTCCCTCCCGGAGGACTTGTTCCCTGAATTTTTCCGCCCTTAAAAATTCGACGACCTCCGCCGGGTATTTGAACCTGCGTACTACGAGTCATGATGTGGGAACGTTACCTCTAGACTACGGAGGCCGCTTGTATTAGTGATTACAGACGGGGTTTGAATTGGAGAATAGATTTACTGACCACTTTCAGTTCGCAACTAAAAATAACTGTAACACTACTTCTAATTTCCACACTAAGTCTTCTCAGTCTACTTCCACTAGTCTTTACTTCGGAACAGCTCCCCACAATGACTATTCCTCTGCAATGTTTCCACTACACGTTTCCTGGCAAAGGATTTATAACAGTCTCACTCTCACTTGAAATCACATGTGGAGTCTTCTATTCACAGCCCAATTCCTTTCTTTCTATTATTCTGCAACTGGCAATTCCGAAGACTCAACTCAATTCAATTCCTCTGCTCCCAAGCTCATATCCTGGCAGGCTGGCGTCACTCAACTACTCAACTAGTGGTCTCTACCGACGAACACTTCCTCATAGCAACTTTGCACGGACCCCCCGGAAAACGTTCCCTGTTGTTAAGGAAGAGTGTTTACGGATTCTTTGTCTAGCAATGGACGCCATATTCTTGCGCGTTGGCTCGCGCGGGAATGTTTCCCGAGTAGTTGGCTAGCGATGGGTATACATGTCACAATATAAATCAGGGTAGCCAATTGCCCCGACAATATTCGAACCCAGCACCCCAGGAACCGAAGTCACTAGAGTTACCGCTCGGTTTTCCGGCTCTCTCTTCAATAATTTTTAATAAGTACAGAAGCGACTTATTAAAGCTGAAAACATATTTTCTGTAAACGTGCGTTTTTCCAAGAGACGGCAATATTTCAGATTAGTCAATGTAAACTTTGGGTTTGGGCAGGGATACACGGGGACGGAGCCGTATATTCTACTTCTCCGATTCATCTTCTTGGTCCTGTGAAGGACCGCTGTAGAGGGCGCAATTTCCGAAGTGACGATGGCAGTGTCATGTCTAAGCGCTCGAGAACGCGCCTCAAACAATTACAAGAGGTGGAACCTACCCGCAGCGAAGAGACAAGTGTCTCGAAGTGGCTGAAGGCAAAGCTGATGAGAGACTGAAGCGACGGTACGCCTATTGCAATGGGCTTCATTAGATTCTCTCGTCAGGGTATTCGATTCACTCTGGATCATGTACTAACCCACGTTAGCTTTTAAAATTCGTTATTGCAGTTCAAATGGAGAAAAAAAGGGAGTACGATGAGACAGTACATCAGCAATTCATACACTTCAAGAAAGCCTATGATTCAGTTAGGGGGGAAGTATTGTACAATATTCTGATAGAGTTTGGGATTCCCATGAAACTAGTTAGGTTGATTAAAATGTGTTTAAACGAAACGTATAGTAAAGTCCGTGTAGGTAAACATTTGTCTGATAAATTTCCTATCCAGAATGGTCTAAAACAAGGAGATGCTTTATCGCCACTTCTTTTCAACTTTGCTTTAGAATATGCCATTAGGAAGGTCTAGGGAAACCAGGTGGGACTGAAATTAAACGGGACACATCAGCTGTTGGTCTACGCCGATGATGTGAATCTACTGGGTGATAATGTAGATACCATAAAGAAAACACACAAACTTTAACTGATGCCAGTAAGGAGGTTGGTCTAGAAGTAAACACAGAAAAAAACTAAGTATATGTTACACTCTCATCACCAAAATCAAGATATAAAGATAGGAAACAGATGTTCTGAAAATGTGGCACAGTTCAGATATTTGGGAACGATAACAGATCGAAACCTGATTCAGGAGGAAATTAAGAGGAGACTGAACTCGGGTAATGCTTGCTACCATTCAGTCTAGAGCCTTTTGTCTTCACGTCTGCTGTCCAAAAACATAAAAATTAGAATATACAAATCCATAATTTTGCCTGTGGTTCTGTATGGGTGTGAAACTTTGTCTCTGACATTAAGGGAGGAACACAGACTGAGCGTGTTTGAGAACAGGGTGTTGAGGAGAATTTTTGGGCCGAAGAGAGATGAAGTGACAGGAGGTTAGAGAAAACTGTATAATGAGGAGCTTCATAACATGTACTCTTCTCCAAGTATAATTAGAATGATCAAGTCAAGCAGAATTAGGTGGATAGGGCATGTAGCAGGAATGGGGGAGACAAGGGATGCGTATAGGATATTGATGGGAAAGCCACAAGGAAAGAGACCACTGGGAGGACCAAGGCGTACGTGGGTGGACAATATTAAAATGGATCTTAGAGAGATAGGATGGGATGGTATTGATTGGATTGATCTGGCTCAGGATAGGGACCAGTGAAGGGCTCTTGTGAACACGGTAATGAACCTTCGGGTTCCATAAAATGCTGGGAAATTCTTGAGTAGCTGCAGAATTGACGGCTCCTCTAGAAGGGCTCAGCTCCATGAGTAAGTAAGTAAGTATTGCAGTTTAAGTGTCAATCCTTCCGACGTATATTATTTACTTTCTTAAAATAAACGTTGCGCTATTGGGCCATGCGATGAGGTAAATTTTTTCAATTTACTGAATCCTTCCAGCCGCATTATTGCCCGGAGGTCGACTCAGCCTCTAACAAAAATGAGTACCAGGAATATTCCCGGGAGTAAAGGACGGCCGGCGCGTCACACTGACAATCTCACCGTCATCTGTGAGCCGACTGTCTAGAAAATGTGGGAGCCTCAACATCTTACGACCCTATGGGATTCCACGACCTGTTACAAGGATACCTTTACTACTGGGTTCATGCTGTAACTACGGAATACAATTACTCGTTACGGATTTTTCTAATGCACTTACACATACGATCATCAAGAAATCAGATGCACACAGTCACAGGAGCAAGACACAACACAGAGCACAATACACACAAGAATGTAGGAAGAGTGCTCCCACAGAGGAGGATTGGCGTGACTCGCGTATTTGAGATACGACGTATGGATGACGAATCCTGAAAGGTTTTAGTATTTAGAATTTGTTGTTATACATGACGAATACACATTTTAGTCATTTTATGATGGAGACGTCATGGCATGCAGTGCAACAGTTTGACGTGGATAGAGACACACCTGAAGATGGCACATTAGTGCTGAAACATGTAGTGTAAAAGTGAAGAAAAAGGTGAAATTGTGTGCACTGTAAGACGGGTAGCATAAATATACATCATGGACAAGAATTCAGACGGGTGGTAATAACGACAGATATTCCAAAATATGGAGCCAACATAGAGACGAACATTGGCGCGAGATGAAGCTATATCAAACTGGGCATATATGATATGATGAATAGCTTGAAACAGTGACACGTACTAATGAACTCATAATTATTAGAATCATGTTCAATCAAGTGAAAACTGATTGTGAATTCTTCAGTGTCACAGAGCTAGTGACTCAGGCCTTGAATATTACTAATTTTTCCCCCTTGGCACTACAGCCCCAGTGGGCCTAGGCCTATCTCCATGAACTTTCCCGTTCACTTCGGTTTTTCTAGATCTTACACATTCGGTAGGACTCCTTGAGCAGGTGATCAGCTTGAATATTACTCATACCAATACATTTTTAGTGTAAAGTTTTAAATTCATGTGAAGAATAAAACAACACGGTCGAACAGGGCAGTGATATTATCAACAAAGACCTCGTTTTACGTCACCTTGAATCGAAAATATTGCTCGAGACGTCAGACCCACGAACAGCACGTCATATGTCTCGTATGACATGCGATCTTCTGTAGGGCGGCTGGGAGCAATTAAAATGGTATGGTTCAGGGCGGTCCTGACAAGTAAAGCTTTCGACCGCCAAGCGAATTGAGCTAACATTTCTGAGTATCCACGTTTCCTCCATTAATTCAAATACAGTGACACATTAAAGCAAGCCGTACTGATGCGTCCTCTTCTTTCTCCTCTCCCGCCTGTGGGACATTCTTTTGAAAGAAATTAGCACTGGATATCTCTCCCGTGGGCAGAGACCTGTATCTTGGTTCTGGGCTGGATTAAAATGTGTAAGACTTGTATCTGGGGACAAATATAAAGTCATGAACCCGCCATTCTGCTTTCAGGTTTGAGAAGCAGCAAAGTCAGAGAAACAAGGCGTGTAGTAACTTAAATGTAGTTAAGAATTTAGGTTTTTACGGCGGTAATTATGAAGAATGCCGTCTTCTGGGATGTGGCACCGTGTAGATATTTTAACCGACGTTTCGGAAGAACGTGTCGCCTCCATCTTCAGGGTAGAAAACTCCGCGAGCGAGGAACCAGCAGTNTCTGCAGCCACCTGCTTACGCTGATTCCGCGCTCGCGGAGTTTTCTACCCTGAAGATGGAGGCGACACGTTCCTCCGATACGTCGGTTTACACAAGATATACACGGTGCCACATGCAAGAAAACGGCATTCTTCTTCAATTTAGCTACACTCACAGAAATACAATTTATAAGAAATTTATAAAATATACATCAATTCAATGAACATTAATAACAAATTATTATTATGCCACTGTCCCCTCAGCTTCTTAATCAATGCAAGTTTCCTTCTGCTGGCTAGTTTCCATAAGACACTCACCTACGTCGAGGCCGTTATCGGAACCGTGGTATATGTTGGAGGATCCGTGACGTGGTCCATTGCTCGAAACTGCCCTTTTGCGGGGTCCGGAGGGTCCCTGCAACAGTGCATACAGCTGCTATAGTAACATCATAGACAAGACCGAGAATTACGAATACAGAGAGCATTAAAACGTAACCAGTAACTGCTAAGGGACAAAACGACCAGACGTCAACATCAATATGCAGTGATTAGCATCTGTGATTCGGTGTACAAACGGGCATCATGACTTAAAGATACATCCTTCATTTCCTGTACGCCAAGAGTTCTAAAATTCTGTGATTCCGCGAACACCTGAAGTAGCAAGGTAAAGGTAAAGCTATCCCTGTAACAGGCCGTGGAGGCCCATAGGGTGTGAGACATCGAGGCTCCCACATCTTCTAGACAATCGGCTCAAAGACGGAGGTGAAGTTGTCAACCTTACTTTTATTATGCTACTTCTCATGCAACGCAATGTAATCCGTGTCAAAATGAAACTGTATACAAGAAGTAACAAGAAAAGCTATCCATCAGCAACGAGACATGAGAAGTACTGCCTTCTTGGATGGCCCTTTCTAGTCTGGTGGAAGTTTGCCGACGTTGCGGAGAGAAGTAGACTAGTGCGCCAAACAGGCAGAGTACTTGCTTCCTCAGCTTACTACTATTCATTGGACCATGGAATGGACGCGGTACGTTCCTCAGAAATGTCGGTAGACTTCTATAGTCCATTCGCGGAGACGAGAGAGTCCTCGTAAACAAATGCACGCGGTATCTCCTTCGCTCTATGAATGAAATCATGCATCGATCACGAGATGCGTGTCCCGTTACAGGGGCGTCCAAAGTTCACTCTTCAGTCTGAATGCAGGCTAACGTGCGTCCGAATGCAGCGAGTACACTGAAGTAACTGCGCGCTTTGGCCACTCCTTGCTGTCAGCTGTGGCGACTCGGGGCTTGGCTTTGTTTACGCTGTCTCGTCTCCGTGAATGGACTATAGCTGACAGCACGACGTCACATCCGGAAAGACAGCATTCTTCACAGCTAGCGCCAGGAGAAACTAAACACCAGAGCCATGGAACACAACTAAGCACGTCGTAAGACAACACTCGAGTCTTCTTTCAGTAAAGCCGATAATCGTTCCGCTGATCAATAAATCCTTCGTCTTTGTCGGGATAGCTCAGTCGCTATAGCGGAGGACTACAGGCTGGAATGCCCGGCTTCGATTCCCGGCAATGCTAGATTTTCCTCTTCTCCATAGCGTCCGCACTGGCTCCTGTGGCCCACCCAGCCTCCTATCCAATGAGTACTGGGGGCCCTTATCGCGGGGGTAAAGCGGCGGGGGCGTGAAGTTGACTACTCACCTCCATCCAGTGCCGAGGTAAAGAAAGGCGGAGCTATATCTCCACTCTCCCCCGCTTTGACAAGAGTCCGCCAACGGACCTTGTCCTCAGTAAATTTAATCCAGCCTATACAAACATATCCTATTCGTTTAAGATTTATTTGAAGTATTCTCCCATCTCGGTCAAGGCCTCACAAATGGTCTCTTTCCTACAGGTTCTCCGACTAATATTCTGTATTCGTTTGTAATCGCCTACGCGAATACATTATCCGCCAATTGAATCATTGGTGATCTGATCGCCATGGCAATACCTGGGGAAGGGTACGCAATGTTAAGTCAGAGCTCGCACAAAACCAGTTATTTATTAACGAAAATATTTAATAGCCTCTAATACACAAAACTCGGTCACGACAGCCGAGCGATCTAAGGCATGTACTGTCCTCGCTCGCTCCGAAGCTGGGATCGTGGGTTCGAATCCCACACAAGGCATGGAAGTTTAGTGTGTGTATACGTTTATTCTGTGTTTGTGTTGTCCTGTGTTTAGGTAGAGGCCTTGCGACGAGCTGATCACCCGTCCAAGGAGTCCTACCGTCTGCAAAAATGGTCATGAAACCGAGAAACCAGCCCTACGCTCCAAAGCGGGAATAAGAGGAGAAAAATTATGTAAAAAGTATATAATCTCTGGAAAAATGCGCATTAAGAGTTTACATAATTGCTCACCTGTGAAATCAATTATAACATTTGTCATGTCAGCAACCGTGCTGCGATGCAATGTCTTAATTTGCAGCCATCGTCGGTAAATGGGGTTGCTGTTTAAACAGAAGCGTCTGCATGTGTAAACAGCCCTACACTGTGATAGCGTATCGGAGCAGATAACAGAGAGACCGTTCCGTCTGGCACCAGTTAATATGATCCATGTTTAGTCATTTAAGCACTAATGACCACTTTAGTCATCTCCTGTTACACAATCTACTATAAGAGGCCATTTCTGTACTGAAAACCTTGCTCATTCTATAAAACGGGTGAGTACTGCTTCATAAATAGGATCTAACCTGCAGCTAAAGTACACACACATTTGTGTGTGTGTGGGGGGGGGGGGGAAATGACAGTATGTGCGAAAGAACCTCGTTAGTCAACAAGTTTCTGGCNGGGCCCGGATTTTGATGACATGTCATCTTTTTTTCCTTGTATCCTATGCGATGGTCTTAAATATATAAATCTGGGATATGAGCTGCTTGTTACAGAAATGTAAATTTTATAGGTAATTTTTTGTCATTCTTTGACATTTTTAGGTTTAAGGTAGTTTTTTCATTTTGGGGGGTAATTTTTTGGGCTTTTAAGGGTATTTCTTGTCATTTTTGGCCATTTTAGGGAATTTTTCTTCATATGTTTTCTGAAATGTGAAAAATATGGAAGCGAAGTGTTCTTTCTTTCCTCCTTTAGGTAATTTTTCTGGATTTTTTCGGTCATTTTTTAAATATTTTCAGGTCATCAAAATCCGGGCCCTGGTCATCACAATATTTTGTCGAGCATAGATCAAGCGACTAATTATTTATTTCTGAACAGACTTTTTTTCTCATTTAAATAACACCATTATTTCAAATTGCTTAATAAATGGTATGTACTTCCCTGAGTACAAAACTGAGAACAAACAATAAGTTCAGGGAAGAACTAAACGCCTACTTTCCTTTTATGCGACGAGGACCGCACAGAAAACGGAAAAGCTGGGGTGAATGGTGACAGACAGGTATACAAACACACGAGAGAGAAAGGTGATCTTATACGCTTCTTAACAAAAACTACGGGACGAGGGGAGATACGCAGACATACAGCAAGGTGATCTCATAAGCCTATTTTTATTTATTTTTTTCAAATTAAGGAAATTGAGCTGAATTTCTTACAACTTTCTGAGTCTCTATTTTTGTGATCAACACACTCAAATTAGTTAATAACAACATAGTTCTTACATATAAATGAATAAATTCATCGTTTATTGTTCTGTATAATCGGGCAAAGATACGAGTAACAAGAACTGTACATACGGTTTCTATCAGCTCCGATAAGATGAAGTTTACTGGACGGACGTTATCACTACTGCTGATTCGTTTCCAGAGATTAGTTCCGCGGCAGCAGGCATGTGTCTGGCGCAACCCAGCACTGCCGTACACGGAGGCCCGACTCACTTCCAACTTAAGCACACTACTTCGTTGCCCTTGTTGCATCCAGCGCCTTGTCACTATTACGATCATCGAAGGTTCAGTTCGAGAAACCACTTATATTCAGGCAATGGGATTTATGGGGAACGTTCATTACGTGCCAGCTTATTCAGTTCCGTTACTCAGCATCAGAATAACTGGCAGGAAAATCAAGGACTCATAATTCCAACTGCTGTTTCTTTCATATAATTAAACGTTCTAACATCGATGAGGATAATATTAAAATGGATAAACAGGATGAGGTGGTAAGGACTTGAATCTCTGGCTCAAGATGGGGACCAACCAGTGTTGGGTTCATGAGAACATGGTAATCAAACTTCGGGTTCCATAAAATATTGGGTAAATTCTTGAGTAGCTGTTCATGTGGCGGCTTCGCAAGAAGAGCTCTGGTCCACGAAGTTAAATTAGTTAGTTAATACAGGTATAAAAAAAGGGATTCCTTTAGTACGGTGATTTTATGTAAATTGTCGTTACATGCTACTTCTGTGAAATATGCAGATGACCTTGTGTTAATAGCTAAGGAAGAAACTGTGCTACAGGGCATGATAGATAGACTAATCGAAATTGGAAGGTGCTATGGCATGGAAATGAATGTGGAGAAAACAAAAGTAATGAAAATTTCGAGACAACCAACCCCAGTCACAATAAAGATAGACCAAAAACAACTGGAGAATGTGAAATGTTTTAAATATTTGGGTAGCTTGTTAACAGATGATGGAAGGTGTACTAGTGAAATTAAATCCAGGATTGCCATGGCAAAAGCTGCATTTAGCAAGAAGAAGAATCTTTTTACCAGCAAATTGGACTTAAATTTGAGGAAGAAACTAGTGAAATGCTACATTTGGAGCATAGCTCTGTATGGGGCTGAAACATGGACACTTAGGGCAGTAGATCAGAAACATCTGGAAAGTTTTGAAATGTGGTGTTGGAGAAGGATGGAGAAGATCAGTTGGACCGATTATGTGAGAAATGAAGAAGTGTTAATTAGAGTCAGTGATCAGAGGAATATCCTACACGAAATAAGAAAACGGAAGGCTAATTGGATTGGTCATGTTTTACGCAGAAACTGCCTTCTAAAAGAAGTTACTGAAGGAAAGATAGAGGGGCGGATAGAAGTGACCATAAGACGAGGAAGAAGATGTAAGAAGATGCTGGATGACCTTGGGGACAGAAGAGGATATTTTCATTTGAAGGAGAAAGCTCTAGATCGCATTAAGTGGAGGAACTGTTTTGGAATAGACTGTGGACCTGTCGTCTTGACAGATTACTGATGAATGAATGCTAGTTCAATGCAGTATCTACCTGATGACAACATACTGGTACGGAGACATGTCGATGGTCACACAATAATTGTCTGTATAATATTCCGTTGTATAGACAGACGAAATGAAATACTATACTAAAAAAAAACATATTCGCCTGGTACGTTGTAGGTCACCAGGGGGCACGCGGTAGCATAGTTGGTTGAGGCACTATGCTACAAGCCGGAAGGTCGAGGGTTCGAGCCCCGATGAGGTGGATTTTGCA